TTATCGCATTCTATTTATTTTGTTGCCCATAATTATCAGGTCCAATTAATTTTAATTTAACTGATTATTTTAGTGACAACCCTATTCCATTCCGCCTGTTAAGGAAATTGTGTTCGCAATGCTCAAAGTGACTCATCAAATTATTCATTCTGATATCCTCAATGACCTGCACTGATTGGTAACAATAAGATGTCCAGAGATTTATTCACACTGGCGAGTTTCTATACATTGTAGTTTGCAAGAGTATCTAATAAGGTTTTCTCTTTTAAACACTTTTGCATTTAAAAAAATAACTTTCTTGGTACTTCGTTCTTTCTATCTGTTTTTTGATTAAAGGTTAGGTACGCTTTGAGATTTTTAATACAATGTCAGCAACTGACAGATACGTTAGCATTTTTATTTACAGAGTTGAGTTTTAAAACAGCTTAAAATGCTTCCGTCCAAACACATTAATAAGACTGCAGTTGAAGAAAAAAAATGCTAGTTAACTGCTAATAGGCGACTCGTAGTTTGGCCGTAAGCCACATAGACGTTGCCTGTGATAATAATACATAACGAATTCCTTTCGACTCAGTATTTCCGGCCTTTGCTTGACAAGTCTGACAGTTTCTTATTTAATTCCAATTAAGTTTACGACGTTTCGAACCTCTACATATTTAGTTTGTACATAAAATAAAATTAGATGTTTCATATTATTTTACATCTTTAAAAAAAAATTAAAAAAGTAAAATTAAAAAAAGTAAAAGGTAACAACCTATATAATTATGTCTCGCACGTAGGCAAGGAGGCAACCCTGGGTATTTAGGGCATATTACACCACGCGACCCCACTGCAGATTGGTGAACTTCACATATTATTATGATCGAAATATGTTTTTTTGTTATTACTTCGAAAACATTATCGCCCGGTTTCTGAAACACTGATCATCGTAGCTTTCAACTAATCAGCTGTCAATTGGCTTTTCAAATTTCATTTTAGTTGCCAAAAGGATGTTTAAACTCTCTGAATTGACCAGAATGAACTTGTTTATGATCAGAATCATCAATTCAAACAGTTTAACCATCCTTTTGGCATCTCAAATTAAATTTGAAAAACCATTTGACAGTTAGTTTGTTGTAATCTACCATGATCAGTGTTTCAGAAACCGAGCGTAAGCACAATATGGTGGACTCAAGATGTTTTCCTTTACCATTGACCACGTGATAAGTCAGCACTTAAAATGAACAATTTCATTGGTGCCGGCACCGGGCATCGAATTTAGGTTGCTCGAGTAAAACACACATTAATTGTCTGTAAGCGAATGGCGTCACTTTAATATTTGCCATCGCGTGTCGCGTCCCGTATATTATAGTGGTACAACTTAATCGTCGTGTTTGATTTGAGTAGTCATAACATGCATGACCTGCGCCTATGTTTTGTTTTTTAACTTTTTTATTTGAAAAGTCGGCAAGCGAGCTGGCGGTTCACCTGATGGTAAGTAGACAGACAAGGAAAAATAAGTGTCAAAGAGTTATAGGAAACTTCTCCCAAATCACATTGAATTAGGGGAAGTTAGTAGAAGGAAGAAATCGTTACACTTGGAAGAACGCGAGGCATTTCAACAATGAATTGAACGAAATAAGATGATTGACACGATTTACGGAAATTTGCATGTATTTGGAATTCTTGTGTAATATTTTAGCCTTAGCGTTATAGTCTTTGTTATCAATAAATGTTAATAGGAAGAACGTTAAATATCTGTTTCACATATGAACTTGGTGACTCATAGCTTCAGCTGCGCTTTGTAATGATGAATAAAACAATCAGAGGTTCGTTGAAATGGAAGTATGATTTACGGACAGTTATTATACTGCACCACTTCCGCTATATTTATATGATTTTTACAGAGTATAAATCTGCATACAAATCTCCATGTGACCAAAAATGAAGAACTCTGTTTATTTCCAAAATGTAACTTATCAAATACTTGTTCTACTTCAAAGAACCATTTGCATCGACTGATACGGAATGCATCATGTCACCAGTTTGCAACGCTTATTTTAATTTAAAAAAATTAAGAAGTAGGACCTTTGTTCCGTTTGCGTTCCTATACCATTCGGCATCGCAATGAAAGTGCTGACCGCGGTAATTTTAGAGGACGAATAGGTCACAAAAGACTACTCGATTCAACGCGTTTCAACGTCCATCAGAGTATATAATAAAAGGGGCCCTAAGCTGTTGGATCGAAGAGTGAAATCATTTCTTTTTTTTCACTCATCAGAAACCAAGATCCTCCCTAACAGTCATTCACAGTCGAAATCCTGGCTACAGGGTAACAAAAAGGTTTAATTTCGGGCAGGAAATTCTCGTGGATAAGCGTCGAGGGTGGATTCGGGATTAGGGCTAAAGGAAGTTATGAAATACACAGAACAGTTTTTATTTTTATTTTATTAGGGATAACAAACAGCTGCAATATACCAGTATATAGTAGTATACACACAAATAGTTGTCCCGTGTGGGAAATAAACCCACGAGATAATAAGCGAGAGACAGATAAGCCACCGAGTCATACATCTGGGTTTCGTCTGGTGACTGAGGTAGCCGTAGCCATTTTTATTAAAAGGTGGCAACGCATCTGCAACCCTAAGGGTATTGTAAATGTCCACGGGCAGCGGTTATCATTTAACAACAGGTGAACTGCAACTTCCTTGCCACCTCACTTAGAAAAAAATAGTTTAGTTGTCAGTTTAGTGATAACGGTATTTATTTTAGAGGAATATCAAAAAGCTATTGTACGAGTAAACAACTTTTTGTGTGCGACTTCGCCAACAAACTATATTCTCTGTTGGGCAAACTCAATTGTATTTTGAAACAATTGTATTTACTTTAATATTAAGTGAACTAAAAATACGCATTCACATTTAATCGAGCCGTGTTTTTCCACGTCCGTTTCACAACATTGTTATTTCTTTGAGTTTCATTAATTTGATAGGTTTGACAGCTAAAAGATAGGTTTCACTTACATCGCGTAGGCTTTAAGGATTAAGGTGTCTACGTGCCGATGTCTATAAAAAGTAAAGATGTTTATACCTTCGTAAAAATGTCTAGCTTACCGTAGTAAGTGTTTCTTTGGATCGGTGCTTTCTTTTTTCTTTTTATTATCCGTCTCAACTCTTTTTAAGCCCTTCTATAAAGACGTAAGTTATAACTTACGTCTGCGTTTGGATATAGTGATCTTTCAGGTAAATTTTTACCCGCTTTCCTTCATAGAATGATTTGGAATTTTTCGCACAAGTATTAAAATGATGATGTACTAATATTATAATAAGGTCCTGGTAATGACCCATGACGTTCAGCTCTTGATTAGGGAGACCATCTACAACTTACTTGCTTCCAAGTTTATATATTTTTTCAAGTTCGGGATATCTGTATTACAACATATAGTGCATGAAGTTTATATCATGGGATTTTAAACTAAGTTTTTTGAGGGACGTGATTTTGGACAAGTCATAAATACAAAAAGCATATATAGAGCTTCCGTTCAAGTAAATGTAGGAGAAGTCTCGTTAATCGTATAATCATTCAAGCGAATGTCAGAGGAGTCTCGTTTTATAATCCGTAATCACATAAAATTTCATCAAATCTCATCCAGATTTTAACCGTTTTTACTTCGGCAAAAAAAGGAAAATCTTGGATTTGAATGCCATCAGAAAAACTCAACGTTGCGTCTAATATATTTTTAACGCCAAAACATTGTTTGTAAGTTAGCCAGGGTGTCGTTAAAGCCCTGAGCGTTGGACCGTCTACCGAGCTGTGTATTAGCACATACGCATGGCATGCGGCCTGCGCCTCATGCGTAGTAATCAAGTGGCTTACGACCTTTGCCGGCTCGCCATTTTACGGCTTGCATCAATTAGACCCCACTCGCTGCGGCGCGCCGATTTAATCGGGCTGAAACGATGGGTGACATTAACGCGCTGCTAGATCGATGAGAGCTTACACTTCTGTATGCAAGTATTAAACTGTCGAGTTCAAAGGCGACCCAAACCATTAAGGTATTTTTAATAGCTTTTTTTTAATTTGTTGACTCTTTCTCTATCCCATTGAGGACCATTGAGACATCAACGCAGATGGTTCCAAAAATCGTTTGTTAGACTATATATCACAGGACTGGATTCCAATATTGGGTAGCTGCATCGTCTATGATGCCAAGGCTGTGATATTAAGAGCGCTAGAAATTCACGACAAACACTACAACCTTTTAAATTTTTGACAGCCTGTTCGACAATCATAAATATTAGCCGAGTTTCGGATCAAACTAGTGTGGCGGAAAGAAGGTAGCATTGACAATCTGTCTTGAGTAAAGATCAAACAAGTGGTAGATATTGAGCTTTTTGACATGGCACCTTTATGCAATAATTTTATGTTAAACAGACTTGTTTTCGAACCTGTGATTTCAATAACGAATAGACCGTGAACGGACCGTCTAACCACTGCGTCACCGCTGCCATGTAGTGAATTCGTCGACTGTTTCTCAACTTCTGCATCGTCTATGATGCCAAGGCTGTGATATTAAGAGCGCTAGAAATTCACGACAAACACTACAACCTTTTAAATTTTTGACAGCCTGTTCGACAATCATAAATATTAGCCGAGTTTTTTCAGTGAAACTATTATCATACAGGTCAATATTGGTTTGGTATATTATGTCTCATCTTTACTATAAGTTACACAATTGGGCATAAGTTCCAAATGTAGGTATGTATTTACATGGCGCGATTTATAAGCCATTAAATCGAAAATGGTTACAGGTCTTCATTGCCAAAATAAGTCATATTTACGTCACTCTTAATTAACAATTACCTACTAACTTTGACATATTCGATTAGATATTTTTATTGCTTTTTGCATTGGTCGCCTTCGACTCTTACATGGTCGTCCATCCACCTATTGGGAGGCCCTCCAGCGCTACATATTCCGGCTGATGATGATGATATTTTATTAATTCATCTTTCTCACAGGTCGGTAAAGCGGTGGCACATCCCGGCGTGGCCAACGAGTATGACAGCACACAGGAGAAGAAATACTACACCTACTACCAGTGGGTGTGCTTCGTTCTGTTCTTCCAGGTACGAATATTTGTTATGTTCACGTTAATCGTGAAATCCTTTCCACTGCCTTTTCTCATCAGCAGACACGATGGGATTCGTCGTAAATCGGTACTTAGTAGTGTAAGGTTATCTTGTGTTGTAGAGTGTTTTACATAGATAGTTTGAACAGATACCCAGACAGATCCGAAGCCATCATATATGGGTCAGACAAATACTTGACCCATAGTATAATTAAGTTAGCGGTTTACAAAAATTGGAACCACCGAGAGAAGCACCTTAAACGAAATCCGTGATTAGATATACATTTTTATCAATTTTCGATTACTACTTGTACAATTGGCAACCAGAGCGGATATGCAGAAAGAGTTATTTCCGGACATTATGGTCTTCAATGAAGTTTCGCTTTGGGACACTTTATAGACTTGATTTACTTATTATCTTTCAGGGCTTTAAAACTATTTGGTTTCTGAAAACTTTTCGTTCTGACCTCACAACATTTTAAGTCTGCACCAGCATCAAACACCCAATTGTTTTAACACCTTCATAAACAGTAATAATTGTAGATGGCTTGGTTGGCAACGTTGCTCGGCTATAGCCTTCCATTTCTCGTGTCTACGGTTCGATTCCCGAACGAAAAATGTATTCGTTTGTCGGATAAACAATTGTTGTAAACCGGTCTGTAAGCAATTTGTGTACGTAGAACGTCTACGTAACACGGGGTGATATCAGTAATCACTTCGGGTGTACCTCAGGGGCGATACTTAGGTACCGTACAATTTAAAATAATAAACTTTGAGATAGTTTCGCTTGCCAAAGGATGGCGAAGCGCAGGCCGGTCGTCGCCCGTTTCTAGGTCGCTGGAACTTGCTGTCTAACGGTACTCGATGGTCGTCGCTAGCGTTGTGACGCGCTCGCTAATGAGCGGCGACCCGTCGGGGCGTGGGCGTTACGCGAAAAGAATACGCCGAACTTTTTCTGGGGAATAGCTGTTTTTGCGTTACGTCTGAACGGTGGGTCAACGGAGTCATCGAAGATGCTATCAAAGTTTGTCTTAGGCTTGCGAAGCTTTTCATAGTGAAATAATAAAATACTTATTAAATTCCGGCTTACGTTTAACCCTTATGAGTGTCCTCAGTGATAATACGTGTTCCCTTTTTAGACCAATGTAGGAATGATCGATCAAACTCAGGTTTGTTTGAAATATGTACCTATATTAATATATTTTTTTAATACGTTTCAACAATATTAGCATAAAAACTGCTGTAGTCAGAGGATATAAAACTAAAAGATCAGGTAGTAAGTCGTTTTATTGCTCTCGAGATTTTGTTGTTAGTAAAAATGTTATAAGAACTATTAACGAATTTATTATTGCCTTAGTGGCAGGGACATCGGGCTTGAAACGTTGAATCCACGGGTTCGATTCTTGCGGTGTTAACAAATAAATTCTGATTCCCGATTAATCGTTCTGACCGTAGGGTGCAGATCACTGTCTGACAAAGCTTATTGCTTCATTAGGTTTCGGATCAAACTAGTGTGGCGGAAAGAAGGTAGCATTGGCAATCTGTCTTGAGTGAAGATCAAACAAGTGGTAGATATTGAGCTTTTTGACATGGCACCTTTATGCAATAATTTTATTTTAAACGGACTCGTTTTCGAACCTGTGATTTCAATTACGAATAGACCGTGAACGGACCGTCTAACCACTGCGTCACCGCTGCCATGTAGTTAATTCGTCGACTGTTTCTCAACTTCTTGCTGTGTTCGAAGGCAATAGTTCTAGTCTTGGTCAATAAACCCAATTGTAATTATTGTCATTCGAAGAGCGCGCTCACAGTGCGTTTGTGTCTGCTATATCGTGATCGTGCTCACACTTGCGTGGATGCATGTGTGTGCTTTTGTGCGCATGATTGTCTGATTTTCATACCGTATGGAGACATCTTGCCCTTATTGTTAAACACATTCACGTGCTACCTGCGAACAGTAGATGATTATTCAAGCTTAGAAGCTTATGTACTAATGTACCCGCCGCTGACACTTGCAGTTAACTTTCGCCATCGATTGTGTATAAAAAATTATTGAAGTTTAGAAGTAAATCAAGTCTTGGCAAATTATATAGGGGACGAATTAGAATTATCTTTTTATGTACGTGCACATCCCACCACACTTGTTAAACGTAGTTGAGTTTTGTATGGGGTGTGACTTATCCTGGATCTCTTTGCAATTTCTTTTATGTTTGTGTCTGTTTTTTATGTTTCTACAAAGATGATTCAAAGCCGGACATCTCTTAATATTTTATACTTTTTTTTTTAATGCGAAAAGTTGCCAAACGAGCAGACGGGTCACCTGATGCTTAGTGAATACCGCCGCCCATGGACATCTGCTACACCCGAGGGTTACAGATGCGTTGACAACCTTTTGAAAATTGGGCTCCGGCTACCTCACTTACCGGACGAAACGCGAAAGTATTTGTCATACTTCCACTATACGCAGGTCTTCTGTGAGGTCGTGGTACTTACCCGGACGGGCCTGCCCATTAGTGCAACAGCCGAGACTGTTGCGTGTCCCTACCACCGTAAAGAATACTATCGTATATCGGTGATTTCTGCTTGCAAAATAATCCCACACGACGTTTTCTATTTCGCGATTGTTTACAAAATGATCATAACATAATGGCGTATTTTAAATGGCGATAACGGAACGTACTTGGGCCACTGGATATTTCTCAAAACGAAAGCCAACTGAGTTTGGGGTTTGGAATCCGATGATAAAGAAGGACAACTTGGACGGTGATTGAGGTAACTGGGACCCATTTTTTATTCGTTGGCACCGCCGTTCGCTTGGCAATTTTTCGAAAAAAGAAATGATAAAAATTTATATAAGTCCGCCTTTATCCCAACAGGCAATAATGTGCTACACGCCCAAGTTCCTCTGGGACGCGTTCGAAGGCGGCCTGCTGCGCACCATAGTCATGGGCCTCAACGTGGGCATCTGCGATCGGGACGAGAAGGAGAAGAAGAAGGAGGTCATCATCGGCTACCTCATCAGGCACGAGCGGGTGAGTTTCTCTTTTAGCATTAACTGATTGTTATATGATATAGATGATAATGGGATTTATTAGAACACTTTATTGCAAAATTGATATAGCTAAAATGATACACTTTGATAATATGATATTTACGATATGATAATTAGGCATGATATTTTGAGAACGCGTGGTTTTCTTGATGACGTTATGTTTTAATAATTTATTTTTTTATTAATATACTTTAATGCTTTTTATTTTTTATTTTAACAAACTTACTCTACAGACTCGTGGTCCGTACTCTTTTTTATTTTAATGCTTACAACATATTGATGGACTTTAGGTAAAAAGTACAAACAAAGCTGTTTGGTTCAATAGTGAATAATGATGCTGGACGATAATTAGCTGTGCCTAGGCAGAAGATCTGCCAGTCCAAATTTATATATGGTTTAATTAGTGTGAATTGACTCAGCAATACACGAAAAATCACCGTGTTGTCTATTAACGTCTATAGTTCTAGAATTTTGACGTTTCTATCTATGACCAAGAAGTACACAAAAGATCGTCGTTTTGTCTATTGGGGTCTATAATCCTAGAGTTTTGACCTTTTCATCTACAGCTAAATAAATTTGCGAATGTATATCGTCGCTGGAAGGGCAAAATTACCAAAACACATTTACTAAGCGGATAAGTAATTGCCTTTCCAGTGATTCTTTGTATCACGTAAAGATAAGTAATTTGATTGACCACCTGATGCTAAGCGGTGATGTTCGTAGAAACTATTCTCTCTTATTTTAAACCCTTTAATCAGATGCCTCTGCATTTACCTCTCTACGTCAAACATGTAATTGTTCGGTTTTATTGTTGCACGCTAATTTCTTATCTTCGTAGCGAAACATTGTTACACTTCGCGGGATCTTTTTCATTCGATTTCAGCACAATGCGTTCATTGCTAATGTAAAGCGTTTGAAATGTTCAGAAATATAACAATAGCCCCCAAACTAATTTTATTATGAATATAATTAGTATGTGTAACCTAGTATAGTGTTTTGAGTGAATGTAATTAATACAATTCAGTGCGGATTTAGTTTATTGTGGGAAGAAAAATTAACGGTGAAACGATTCCCACTTTACGAACACGTTGCGTTCGTCTAGTCCATTGTTTTGTTGGACGCTCTTGAACTGTGAAACGGGGCTAATTCTCTTCTGCGGTAGTGCCTAGCAACGGTCTACGCTGTTGCATGAATGGGCAGGTCCGTGCGGGAAGGTACCACGTCCTCGGGAAGACCGGCAAGGAGTGGCAGTGCTATACTTCTGCGTTTCGTCTGGAGAATGACGTAACCGGAGCCCAATTTATTAAAAGCTGGCATCGTATCTGCTACTGGACGACCCGAATGGCGTTGTGGGTAGTGTAGCTGCCTCCTGCGCCAGAGGGTGTGGGTTCGATCCCCACTACTGGATAAATGTTGTGTGATGAACATAGTATTTTTCTAGTGTCTGGGTGTTAATATATGTATAATATGTATTTATTTACAAAAGAAAAGTATGTTTATGTATGTTTATCAGTTTTCTAGTACCCATAGTACAAGCTTTGCTTATTTTGGGACTAGAGAATGTTGTGTAAAAATGTGTCCTAAAATATTTATTATTTATTATTTAATTATTTACTCTACGGGATCGCAAATGTCCATGGGTGGCGGTTATCACTTAACATGAGGTTAACCGCCAGCTCCCTTGGCACCTTGTCAACAAACTTTCGCCAGAAGAGAGGTAGAGCGCGACGATATACTTTGTCATTAACACAAAGCGCAAAGAAATTTGTAGGTACACTTTCTCTGAACCATCCAAAGGTTGATTGTTTGAAAATGCCATTGGCATTACGTTCGCAATTGCAATATTGTGTACATAAAGTATAAATAGATAAATATAGCTTCAAAAAAGGTACAAAATTTTCTCGTCCCAAAAATCAAAATCAAAATCATTTATTCATCGACATAAGAAACATACATTTCATCTATAGATAGATATTTTTTTAAACTACAACCGTTTCGTAATGAGGTTCCTCTAACTGAGAAGAAACAGGCGAAAGAAACTCCGCAGGTATCCTCTCTTTTGTAATTTTTTTTTTCTTAAAAAATTAAAATCTTCATCTGTTTTTTTCTCTCTTTCTTTTAGAAACAGCTTGGGAGCGATCAACTCATTCCCAGGGGTTATTTCAATATATTCATTTTATATCTAACATTGACCTCTTTCTTTTTCGATTATACGAGCATTACGTAAAGACGCGTGACGCGCTATTACGTACGCGATAGCTAGGGCTGCGAGGCGCGCGAAAACCTGAAGGGGCTCGTGGAAGCCAAAGAAATTCGTCTGGACTCCGCTCGACCGACCATGTCCGGTTTAAGCGTCCCTATGAATATTAATACCTAAGTTTTCCATTGAAAGTTTTCGTTACTCGCCCCTTACCGTTATAAGTGAATGGATTAGACGATATTAACACTTTTAATAACTTTGCTAATCTAAAGCACTCTCGAATCTACCTGAAGGCACACAAAAATTTTCATTAAAATCGTTCCAGCCGTTTAGGATAAGTTCAGTGACATACACACGTAAGAAGAATTCTATATTTATTGTCGCGATGGTAACGACACGCTGTATATAGCAGCATTTGCGTAAATACAAGAAATAATGAATACGAGTACACATAGCTTAACTAATATCGACGGATGACATGCTGCCGACTTGGTATCCATTCATGACAAGTCAAATGCTTTCGAGCGCGCAGTTGGCGTTAGCTGCACAATTGAGGTCGGTCCGCATACAAAGCACGCTGTCGGGGGTCCCCCCGGCGTAGTCGCGCGTGCACCGCCTCTCTAATTCGGTCGCGGGTTCAATGCTCACGACGCGCCGGCGCCCATTGTGAGCGAAGAGCTAGCTTAGGCTGGCGCACAGCGGATGCGATTTTATCGCAACACAGTTTAATAGAATAGCTTGGTTATATTTCACTGCACAGGTCTTCAATAAGCGAAGACAAGGTTGAAATGGAGTTGGTGTGGGAAAGCTCGCAAATGAAAGCGTTATCGTTAGGCACAGTTTATTGGAGTGGATAACGGGGTTAATGTATCGCTGCAAAAGGAAAGACACTGCGTGGAAATTGAGTAAAAAGGTGTTGGAGACGTAATCGCCAATTATAGATTTTTTTCCACTGCCAGGATCGAAAATTTGAATAAAAATCTTTTCGACAATTCATGTACTTACTTTATTTTCTCTTTAAGCGCAGAAACAAGCAATACAACATAAAATTATTAATGCAGACATAAAAATATATCTTGCATGTTAGATTTTTGCCCGAACGTTGATTATATACTGAGACAGCGTATATAAAATAAGAGATAAAGAGCTTTTTTTTTAAGTTTTTTTTTACTGTCACTAAAAAAGTAAGAAAACTTTTTCTGCATGTTTTAAGATGAAGAGTTTAATTTATAATAGGAGATTGGTCGAGTACATTTCTCGACGGTAAGCGGGGATTAAGTTGAATGCAGTTTACGTTTTAACCCAACGTTACTTAATACAACATGTCCATAGCTGTGTATCGCTATCTCTTTCTGATACAAAATGCATTAAACGTTTACGCTGTCACGCATTACGGCCCTAAAAGAGTAGACTGTGATTGATATTTTTAATTGTTAATCTTAAACGTCAGCATAATCCGGGAAACAAATGATTCGTTGTGACACGCCCCTGCGATTAGAATTGGCTACCTTGATATCGCAAGTGTGACGGATCATCCAATAGGCAATCGCTTAGTGATTTCTGTATACGAGGGCGGGATGATAAGTAACGCAAAGAAAAACACTTAACTTTCCGTGACGACATACTCTATCCAATAGGCAATCGTTCTAAAGCAGTAATGCCTAATTTTCTTTCGATGCGATAAAAAAATCGGCCTTATTACTCTGAAAACGGTCCAGCCATTCTTTTGAGTTTTGCACCCGAATCCTTTTTTGATCGTGCGTAAGCAATCGCGGCACCCAACGGGCCGATAACTTTTTCATATTTAATTCCTCACTTAGGATATGATGTACCCGTTCTTTTGAGATACCTGTAGTGTCAGCTATTTCAGATAACTTCAATCGTCGATCTGCTAAAACCATATCATGTACTTTCACGACCATTTCCGGAGTCGTAACGCTTTTTGGACGTCCGGGGCGGGCTTCATCTTGGACACATGTACGACCGCGTTTAAACTCAGCCACCCAGTTTTTTACTGTGGCATAAGAAAAGAGCACATTCACCCCAAAACATTCTTTAACTCGTCATAGATATCTTTCGCCATCATCCCCTTCATATGAAGAAACTTTATCACCGCTCTCTGTTCAATTTTATCCATTTTGAAAATAGTTGACGAAATATATTTTCAAATGACAAAAAAACTATAAAATTTTCACGACACCTAATTCAAATTTAGAACACAGGTGGCCAGAGATACTTTAAAAATGACACATATATTTTTTTAATTTTAACTTTTTAAATAGCAATGGCTAGTTACTTATCATCCTGCCTACGTACTTTCGAAACCGGCACTACGAAACCAACACTGCGCTTACACACCCTGTGTAAGCGCAGTGTTGGTTCACACTCGACTTCCAGGGCGGCTCTCACCGCCACCAGCCAACGGTTGATGTTGTCAACGGCCATCGGGGTCATGGCCCGTATCTCGATGGCCCGTAGGTGACAGTCCCCCACTAATTGGATAACAGGCATAAGCACTTGGCCGGTCCAAACCACAGGGAGGGTCGCACCAAGTTAGTGGATCTGACACGCTCCACGTTTGAATCTTTAATAGACTATGGAATGAAAGAACATCAAAGGAATAACGATTACTAACAAAACATATATAGACATTTGGGCACTCCATGCTTATCACACGGTCAATTATATGTTGGTTGTTCATTTGTTTCGAATTCCCGAAACTTGTACGTGCTGGCGGAGAACGATAACTCATTTAATGTCGTAAACCAACGGTATTTGAA